AAAATATTTCTTACATTCACGACCTACATTCTTTGACTGCTGGAATTAAGATATTGGATGTAATTTGTGGAGAAAATTCTTGTTTCAGTCAAGAAAAGGTTCAAATCTAGGTTCAAATTGATGATGACCGAGCTAAAAAGGATATAGAAATAGACACCAGCAAAAGATAGAAAAGATGAATCCATCATAAAACAATTCGCGTATTTGTATTCGCATGATAAATAGATACTTGTCCCGATCCTAAGTGCATTACGTCTACCCACGTTCGAGAAGAAAAATCTAGTTTAGCAACGTTATATTTTTAAAAACCAAATTCTAACAGTTAGCTATTCAGCATAAACTCCTTAAATCACCATTAACCACTTAACAAACACATATAATAACTCTTAAACATTTTCAAAACGCTATAGAAGTATAAAAGGCTATGTCCTATAGACTTTACTGCACAATTCCTATCAGACTAGTCAGTTCTCCCTACCGCATAGTGGTCTGCATACGACTATGTTTACTTTACAGACAAGTAAGACAATGGATCGGTAACGTAAATATCAGTTGGACGCGGTGACATTTCCGCCATATTTGATAAGGGTAGGGGAGGCTGGTGTAATAGGATTTGCTTGGTAAACAATAGAGGGTGTGTCTGTCTGTCTATTTGTGATGCAGACTAGAGATTGCAGATAGATACAGTGTTTACGTTGTTTGAATTGAGGACAATAAGCCTCTCTTTGAAGGCAGTGCACATAGTTGTACTCCTACTTCTGGGTGAATTATGTCATAAAGAAGGGATAAACTAATTGCATTACATCGGCTACAATTTGGAAAGTAAGACCAACGTAAAATCTTTGAAGATTAACATAACATAATATCACGCCTTTTTATTCCCGAAGGGGTAGGCAGATGTGCACATTTCGGCACTTAATGCCACTGTACCTACAATGTAACTCCCACTTTTCACTATTTATGTTTCGAGTCCCATGTAATAGGGGGTGAGCCAATTGCCATATACCGGGCACATTTCCAGACTCCGTGCTACTACTGAGATTTTTTAAAATCCCAGTAATACTTTGCTCGACCCGGGAATCGAACCCGAGACCCCTTGCCCGGCAGTCGCACTTGCGATCACTCGGCCAACGAGGCAGTCAAGGTTAAAAATCACAATAACACTTTTTGACTCCATTTCCGATCTTAATACCATGATATAGTAGCCAGTCTAAATTTTCAAATTCGCCAAATTTTCCAACGTCAGTTAAATTTTATCAGATAAGTACATAACTTTGAATAGTTGACGATTTATTCAACTAATCTAAAAACTGTCAAATGTCAATTTTATTCTAGTTAAGATTTAACTGTTCATTGAAAAATCGACCCTAAGGAAATTATATTTACAAATGAACAAAAAAGAAAGAATATATGATAAACTGCATTTTGTGACTATCTACTACAGCGTTTAGACAGGGGTAGTCGCAGACATCTTTAAAAGAGGGGGAGGTTGGAGACACATGATACTGTCTATACAGCAGACATTATAATAGGGTAGACGACTAATTTTTATTTTAATGTCCATCTGATAGATTATTTAAAAACATTAGACACGTATTTTTTATTTTCTCACAGAAACGAATAGTTTCGAAGATATATTGATTTGAAATGTCGCGTGACGTCACTTCTCAGTACATTTTATACTAAGAAATGACGTTTTAGCCCCCACTCCTAAACTTTGATTCGTTTTATCTAAGTATTGTTTTATTATACGACAAAATAAAAAAATACGTGTCTAATATTTTTTCATTACCTAACTTACGGACTAATTATATTTTTAATTTTCATACCCTGTCATCATCCCCATTCATAGATACTCTTTTGTTTATTACAGGCAGAAATATCTTCTACTATACAGTCAACTAGTAGATAACGTTTAACTTGCGGTGTAAACGACTTGCCTAGCTGTCAAAGTCAAAGAATTAATTTCAATTAAACCATAGTATGGTACTTTTGAAACATCAACAAATACAAAATAAATAATAGTCTGTCAGTCAGTCCGTCAGTGAAACTAGGTAAAGCTAGGTGCTCATTCCAAAATGTAGATTCGAATGGAGAAGAACGAGCAAGAAACTCCATTCGTTACTCTTTTAAAAAAAGTATGTTCTACAATGTCTCTGATACATATTTCAATACTGTACGCATATGTAAGAACAATGCAAAGACACGCTTGAAGCATTATACTAATAACTTACTAATATAAAAATCTTAAAGTCTATCATGGTTTTGCTGTTTGACTGAATAGCTGAAGGTAAGTAAGTAAAACTATTTAAATTTTTAAATACTTAACTACAATGTAGTGTAGAATAATGTTATGAATGATACAAAATCAAGTTCTATGAAGAAACATGAAGTAACGTATGGACAATGTTATTATATGTGGCTGTTATATAAGATCAAACTATCTATTGTTAGCGTGCCGTCTTTCTGTAATCTATAGGTTAAAATCAAAGCTATTCGTCTATAGGATATCTATCAAGTACATGGGGCAGAAGGTACAATAAATCCAATCTGTAATTTTTCATTGGATTTTCTACTTTAAATCAAAATAATAAGGTTGAATTTTATTTTGAATAAAGGAATTTGACAGGTCAAAAGTGCATAGTTTCCATTTCAGATTCTAGTACAGTTTATATAGTACGTATTTAGAGATAGTTTGGCTACAGCATCCGATTACATCCTAATATCAGATCGTCTTAGTATCGGTACTCAGATTACCAACCGATTTGACAAAACACACACATCATCACGCCTTTTATTCGCGAAGGGGTAGCTAGAGGTGCGCATTACGGCACTTAATGCCACTGTACAATGTAACACCCACATTTCACTATTTATGTTATGAGTCCATGTAATAGGGGGTGACCCTACATATAGAATATTTGCTTCAAATTACAAATGACCGTTAATTTATATAAAATCAAATAAATAAATCACGCCTCGTATTCTTTAAGAAGTAGTCAGAGATACACGTCGTCAGTGATATGATATCATAAGTTAATTAGTTCATTTAATACTTTACTAAACACCGAATCGAACCTGAGACATTTTGCTCAATAATCACACTAAAGACCATTCGGCTAAAGAGGTTGAACTACCATTATTTATTCGAAGTGTCAATCAGATTATAAACATAAAATGAACCTAATGTATGTAATACACCAGTATAAAATATAATACCGAAGTGTTATCAAAAATATGCAATGCAATCCCAAAATAACTCGACAGGAAAACGTAGAATTTATCATATTTTATTAAACATAAGTAATTACTTATTTATGTTTTAAAACACAAAAAAAAATATTTACCAACTTCAGTTCTTACTTACAAGATAAAACCACCATGATTTAAAAATTACTATCAATAAAAATCACTATTAAAATAGTCACTTTGAAACGCACTAAGCAATGTTTTCAAAAACTAATAAATATATAAAAAGTGTGAAGTTTCTCAGCCGATAAAACACCGCAATGCGCGTTCGATCGCGTCTGGGAACCAACTGAAAACTGTACTACACTTTGAGCTTGCAAACTGCAGTCACCAGCTAACTAGACCTCCACATTCAACACTTCCAATCCCATATACAGACCAAGTTACATTGGACATTAAAACCAGACAGGATGATACGTAAGTACATAGTTATATCTAGCAACTACAGTTCAATATATTCTGGTTTTATTCGACCAGTTTACGTTGACATTTCGGTGTCAGTTGATGAGCTATGAATGGAAGTTCAAGTTATACTATTCAGTAATGCGTGGGGTTTAATACAAAGTGAATTGATGTTTCAGTTTCATGCTTTTAGGAACTGAATTACTGAAAATGGTAATTAACTTCATTCTAAATGAATTTTCATACGCAAGTTACTAGATTGTGTTTACACTATTAAAAATATACGAAAGTTTGTCTTTTCCATGTTTTTTTTATCTTTTTATATACATCACCATTTCAATAAGACCTGCAACTGTTCAAAACTTCATTCAAACCAGAGTTCAACCAAAACTGGCCATTCAAAAACACTATCCATAAAACAACAATGCATACGAAACTCAATTAAAAACAAATAGCATATCAAAGTAATATAAACACTAAACAATAACAAATAAGGTTTAAATTTAAATAAAATTGACACCGTTCCAGATTTACTGCAATAGGATGTGATCAAAATTGAACTGTGTACGGTTAAATATAGAGTTTATTTTTGACTGTATAATCCAAGATAGTTAAGACGTTTTATAGTCTGTTTGGTTGTGATTTCAGGAAATAAAAAGTATTGGCATAGCTCGACGTATAAGAACATTATTTTTGGATGGAATGTTAAGAATTTATTATTTTTGGTACAATTTGATATAAGCGTTATTGATATGTGTGGTAAGAATCAGTTTTGTGGGCTATTTTTATAAGTAATGTTGTTTGAAAATAGATTACTTTAGTTTTGATGTATAGTCAAGGTTTTTAGGATTAATTTCATGAAACTATTCATTGATAATGGTTATCCGATGGTTAGAATCTCGATTATCTATTTATGAATTCCCTAAATTATTTTTCATAAACCTAACAATAAAAGCGGAAAATAAAATGGAAACTGTTAAAGCGTGTTGCATCTGAGATCCATTTCTTTTATACTTGATAGGTCAACGTTTGGCCACCATCTCGCCTGGTGGTAAGCGATGATGTGGCCAACGATGGAGCACGCCTACTTATGAGCAACCTGTTCACTCGGGACTTGAAGACACCCAAATTATATTTGTCAAGAAACACAGATTTCCATTCCTTAGCTGTTCGCATAAGGAAGCTTGGCGCGTAACTTTTCCTGCTATTGGGTGGAATGTCCACTATCAATACCTATCTTTCTTTTCGATGTAGCAGTCACATTTCATCACAAAAAGACAGCCGACTAGATAAAATTCCCAAAATAAGAAATTCTATACTGTAATTTAGTATAAAATGTATGTACGTACTGGTTATTGTGTGCAGTGAGTCGGTTGGGGTCGCTCGCGTTGCGGTGCTTGCCGCGGCGCGGCGCGTCACGCTCGCGACAACTCTCCGCTCGGTTCACGCCGCGCCCGCCACCTGTCGCCGGGGAACGCCAACTAGAAATGGAGATAATGCATTAGTTTATTTCTTGCATTTACTATTGGAATTAAATAAAGGATCTTTATAACAGATTGAGGAGTTCATAAAAAAGCTCAATGTAACCAATCTAAATTACTCGTAGAAGTAAAATATTAAGTTATCCCGGATTCCAAATCACAAATTAAATAAAATATTTCTTACTTAATTATTAATAACTTGAGAAGAGCCAAAAAATAGTTAAAAGAATATTAGATTGAATTCTATATCATTGCCGCCTAGCGGCGAGTGGCTGCACTACAAACTACATTTAGTTTTACTACTTGACGGTAGATGGCGCTACTAGTTTAATGTACGCCATCTACGTAGTTGTTTAGTATTATTGAAATGAAATTAGAAAACGTTTATAAACATCTGTTTATGTTTTGATAGTGTAATATTGGACAATATAGCTTTTACTCATTGAATTAAGTTGGGATTCATACAATTTTAAGTCTTATAATTGTTAGTTGTAGATCGCATTTTCACATACTTGTTATCCTTGTCAGGTTCCTTGGTGTTAGCATCACTAGTGTCTACATCACCGTCTGGTGCTGTCGGTTCGTCTGTCGAGCCCTCGCGCCGCGACTCTCCTGTGGAAACATAAACAGAAAGTTTTAATTATCAAAAGTATTACAGCGACACCTGTTGATCGTTTGTTGAACTATAGGGGGAGTAAGATTTTGTTGCAAGGTATATTCGTACAGCGCCATATTGTTATATTACGTTACACTAAAAATCTAATGTTTTCAGTAAAGGCTGGCTGGCAGTAAAGTATTAATACTGAAAACTATGAATAATTATCGGTTTTGTTTTAGAAGCTAAAATATAAGGAAAATCCAAAACATAAAGATCATTGACATTTCAACACACAAACAGGTACCTACAGCAAAGTAGTTTTTGAAAACAAAAAAGATATTGCTATAGCGGTTTTACCAATGTTTAGAGTTAGATCAAGTTACTATTTTTTTAAAGTGATACCTACATCGTGAGACGTAATATATTGTATTATAAATCTCATAAAAACTTTGAACTAAATAGGATAACGTCCCTCTCGTCCCCGGGAGAGATATACATTATACATACACAATGTAACACCCACTTTTCACCACTTTAAAGTCTACAGTCTACTCTAAAGGACTATTAACATAAACCCGAAAAATAAATAAACAAATAAAATACCTACACAAATGAATTCTATTAGGTTATCATAGTACATTAGTTATGTAGGAAAATACGATGAGAAACATACTAAGCGTTGATAATACAATTATAAATGCTGCCACGGACGGGTAACAAACACGTGACTCTTAGGTGTACAAAGTCAATATTGTACATGAAATAATTAAAATTACATAGAAGTATATTAAACTATTCACACCCGCGCGGTTTCACCCGCTCTGCTAGGTTCCTATTGATTATAGCGTAGGCTACAAAACAGCCTTTAGCCTTCCTCGATAAATGCACTATCCAGCCGAAATATATTTTTTTTTTCAAATCGTACCAGTAGTTCCTTAGATTAGCTCGTACAAGCAAACAAATTTCTTCAATTTTATATAATAAGTATTTGTAAGTAAGTATAACATAACGCATAAGTTACTTTAAAATAACTTTAGTAGTGACGTTTAAAAAAAATCCGCTTTGTGGCGGGCAGTGGTTGGATGAGAACAGCTTAAGATCGAGCTCAGTGCCATGCTATAGGAGAGGCATATGTTCAGTAGTAAACAATATTATGCTGATGATGAACAGATTCTTCTATATACATCTAATAAAAGTACGTAAAAGAATTTTGAAAACTTCAAATATAGTATCCAGATTTAACTGTTCATCATAAAAGAAAAAATAATACACTACCAATCAGACTTCAAATTTTATCGCTTTATAATAAAGTCGAGAATCTATTGAAGAAATATGAGTCTAGAATAGTTTGATCTGCTCATGCGTACCAAGAGTGTACCAAATCGACTTTTACGACAATCATAAAATAAAAATATTACGGAAAAAACCGCTTCAAACCGCCGCTAGATGGTGTTATGTTCAAAAACAACTACCACCCACACGCAAGCACTTTACAATGAGTGCAGTAATGGACGTCCTAAAATAGAAGTAAATTGCTAGTTCACTCGCCCACGAATATTAAAACTACTAGTTTCCCTCTGTAAAACAAACGATACTTATTACCTTATTACAAGCAACACTTTTAACAGACAATGTAAGTATGAATTCAAAAAAGGTTCATAACACGAGCAGAGAATAAAATATCAAAAAGGGAAACTACGGGTGATTGTTTGGATTGGAATCAATTGAAAACATTATTATTCCTAGACGTAATATCAACGGCAAAGGTAGACGAAAGAAAAGTTGATTATAATAACATTGCGTAAAGCATTCCCTAGGCTATTAACCTAGAGACAGTCTCAATTATACAACCAAGTTTCACCAATTAAAATGAATGACATGCATGTATCTAATGATAATGAAATTTAAATCCCGACTACAACTATTTTCAAATTAGATATTCTAAAAACAATGTTCTATGCTAAAATTATAACAGTAGCAACAACCACAATTAACAATATCGTAATACAAAATATAAAGAACGGAAAAGACACACTCACTTTACGTACCAAACTGTTCTATATAAAGTAACATCCCTTTATATAACTTTAAACTGATAATACAACACAACATAATAACTACATAACAGTAGTTAAATATGAGGCAAATGATCCCATACTCAACAAGTACCAATGTCACAATGATAAGCATGAACAACGCGGAAGCCACATCATCCTGTTGGTAGGGCACGTCCTATAATCGGCATACATTGTTATAACGGATAATTAAAACGGTTTGGTTACAATTATCTCATAATTATTTGAATATATATCAGAGATATTGTAAACATACTACCTATTTTTTAAAAGTGTAATAGAGTTTCTTGCTCGTCTTATTCACTCGAATCTGCTTTTTGGAACGAACACCTAGCTTCAATGACAGACTATTATTAATTTTATATTTGTTGACGTTTCAAAAGTACCAAATTAAGGTTTAATTAAAATAAATGCTTTTGAGTTTGATTTTAAATCTATTAGAGGTACGATGGAAGTTGTGTTAGTAGCTGAAAAAAGACGAGGAGAAATGTGTGCAAAGTAAGATATGAACGAAAAGTCTGATAATATTGATAGAATTGATTCAATTGAAAAGAAGACCTTCCGTGGTAGAAGAGGCCTTTGCTTTGTAGTGGAACAATTAACGGCCTGATGATGTAAATGATAATGATGACAAAAGACATATGAGACAAATTTCAAGTAACTTGAGTAAAACCGAGGAAAACAAGTAATGAAATAACAGAAAAAACCAACAAATTACACATCAAGTGAAACACTTAACAAACAGACGGTTTTTTGCAGACAAACATGATAAATACACAACACAATTCAATATTACAGACAGAATATGAAAGAAGTCATTGAAACTCATTATCATAAAAAAGCCCCTTGTTATATGAAAAGCATTTATTTATAGAGAACAAATAACAAAACTTTTCTTTATATGGATTCAGAGTAGAAGTTCGAATGTTGGCAATTCTGATAACTTAGCTGGGGAATCCTTGTAAAACTGTTTTGGTACCAAACTTTACAGCCAAGGAAATTGATGAAAGTAATTTAAGGCCAAAAAGCAGTCGAAATGAAAAAAACGAAAGTAAGAAGCTAAGACCCTCTCCATCATAAACTTGTCGATTGAGGATAATTTTAAGTTAAAAGCAAATTTGAATTAGTCATAAGTTTATGGCTTCCACGTATTATATTAACGTACATATTAGTTTTAATTGTTTGACGGAAAGTTTTCAAGGTACCCCGGTTACAATTCCGTTGATGACAAGTGTTTGGGTGTGAAGATAGCCAGCCATCTTCGACAGACATTATTAGAAACACCTTGGACATTTTGATGAATGCCGCTTTTATGACTTAACTCGCATCTTCCATGTAGTTACATCAGCTGCTCGGGTCATATTGATCGCAGTGTGATGTTAGATAGCTACTAAAGAGAGGCATTTTTCAAATTCAAACCAGTAGTTCTACGTGTTTCTCTCAGCACCCACTTATATCTGCATTATCAAAATAAATAATGCAACGATTACTACCAAAGCACGGTTTCCTTCATTACCAATACTATCATTAATTCAACAGTAACATTATATTTCTTTGCAAATATTCTCGACAAGTCGACCATGCGCTTGATCATACAAAATGACTCCACAATTAGTGATGATCTAAGCGATGACGTCACACTAGTAACCGTTAAAGGATATTTCTATGTACATCAAGCTATGCAAAGCCAGTATAAGCTGACCGTCGAATGTGTGGAAAGATCATACAAGCGGGACCAGGATAAAGTGGTTTTGTATAGTTTGATATGTTGCCATTTATACGTCTTGACAAAGTTTTTTCATCAGATTTCTGAATGAGGCTGTTTTTTGCGATCTTGTCCAAAAGGAAGTGCGAAGCTTATATAGCGCGTAAAAGTATGAAAATGGGATCTAAATATGGAGTTTTTGCGTCAACGGATTAAAGCTTTTGTTTCTATTTATAGTAGAGTTTCGCGGTTACATGGTAGCAAAAGTGAATAGGACTTTAAAAACATCTGTCTTCTGACTCCTAAGTAGTAATTTTTGTTTTACGAATCACTACCTAGCTAAACCAATGCTGGGCTCCTATTGAACGTAACGTGATCTTTTATAGCCTGTATAGCCTTCCACGGTATATGGACTATCAGTGGAGTTCAATTCAAATCAGCAGTTCCAGAGATTACCGCGCTCAAACTAAAATTCAAAATAAATAAACTTGCATAAAAATTTCTTTACATCTCCCACACAAATCTTTTCAAAGCATATGTTAATTACGCATAGATGAATTATGTTCCCCATATTTTCTATGGAAATATTGCTGCAAACGTATTCGTGTCAAGATTGTCAGATTAATAGCTTCTCAAGCAAAGAGTGGATAACAATGGGTTTCGCAACCATTCATCCACTTCAATCAATTTTATCAAGCACCATCAATATTTTTGCACTTCTTCCAATTACACACCTTACAATCCTTACATTAAAGCTCTAAATCCAGTGCATCATGGTTCAAGAGTAATTGAGGATGAGCAATACAACTTAACACAGGAAATAAAACTGTAGTTGGAAGAACTTAAAGTTGATTTTTCAGTATGATAGCAGTGCTTACGTCATAGACACCTCGATTGGTCGTCGACCCGTTTCCAAAACTGCATCCTTTTATCCCGTGGACAGCTCGAAATATATTCGCAAATACAAGTTTGTATGTATGTATGTTCGTGATCATTTTTGGAGCTACCAAAATAGAGCTGGGAGATACAGCAAGTTTACGAAAAGCAGCTCTTTTCCCGAATGACACAGATATTGTAAACTGTATGTCACTCAGAATGCTACCAGTGTGTGGTAGTGTCGGAGTTTAAAAAGAACATTTACCTGTATTATGATTAATATATCTTTGACGTGTTTTTTCTCTGTCTAGTACGAATGAGTCATTTAGTACGTAATGTTCTGAAATATTTGCAGTATTTTTCAACCAAGCTAAAATCAATGCTGAGAATTTAGACAAATAACACCGAAAAAAGATACTATTAAGTATCGAAATGCCTACATTTTTGCAGTCAATTTAAAGTCAAAGTTTGTTCTTAAGTATTAAAAGTACTAAGATACACTAATACTAACTCATAATTCAAAACAATTATGTCATTGAGAACGTGACGGAGTATCCAGACACATGCGCAAACGCATCCTTGACGACCGTGACACTAATAAAAATTATTAATAGTCAATAAATTAATACAATTCTTTGAATAAGGATAAAATATCACACACACATAGACATATAATTCAATTAATAATGCCAATGAAATATTGAGTGCACCTAATAATGGAATTGATTAATGAAATACGTCAAATAAAGCAAAAATTTCATTGAGATGCTGAGGAATTACTAACTCTTGCGCATATAGATACCATGTTAGAGTGCTAACAGTTACGTCATGTCGTTTAATGTAAAGAATCTTGTCTAGGGACCACCCTGACGTTAATAAATCATAAAGAAACCTACTAATAGCAAATGATAAATCAAGAAGCAATAAAGGATATTCAATTTGACCAGTTTTTGACATTAGATGAAGGAACTACAAACTCTACCTACAACCATGGATAAACCGTTTAGTTCCGTTGTATCAAACATGACAATGGGTCTGGAAAACCCTACGATAAAAGATGTACGCGATAAGACTACTAATGAAGAAGTTGCTGGACGTTACGATTTAAAACTTTAACAAGAAACGATTACGGTTGCTTATAATAAAACGGTACAAAGCACACACCACTCTGATTAATATGAACATAATTTATTCAATGGCAATGATAATAAAATTAAGGTTATTAGTCCTGATGAAACAGACCATGGACTGGAAGCTCATAAAGATAAAAGAGACAAACTCTAATGACGCGGAAACGGTCTCCAAGTCATCAGTTCAAAGAAAGTTAATGCCAAAAGAAGTCCCCTACTATTAGATTTCCAAAATTAACCTGGACGTCTCCCCCGAGACAATATGTTACGTTTCGGTGCGCATGACTCAATGCTCACACTATTTATATAGACTTCCGGAGTTGGCGCACGCATGTCAATCGACTTAACGATGCGATGGTAGGGGACGCGATTCTTTGAGACCAATTTAATTAAACGGCTGGGAAGGTAGATCAGGGGAAGGATTTCAATATTAACGTGAGGCTGTACTTAGGTATTCGTTAAGATTTGTTTAGTTGTGGATGGCAGACGTATCAATAATAAAATAATCATAAAGCTAGACACATATTTTCCAGATTATTCAGTTAACAGATGTAGAAATATCTGGGTAGTTTGTAGAAAGAATACAAGCAATAACTACTTTATCACAGCTTAAGATCTGTCTTCTATAAAACGCAATTGATTTAGACCGTTCATAAATCCCTTACGAAGCTCAATAACAACATAAATCCTCTGTAAACTAGATTCGTGTCACCCACTTCGTTTCAAACGAGGACTGAGTGGCTACAGATAGACATAGTACTGTCAAAGCCGACCGAGTTATCAATAAGCCGACTGCCGGCCGATTGACCGCGATCGGAGGCACGCGGCATAATCGTCGATTAGTTTGCTATGACAGGTCATGGACAACGAAGGAATGCGACATACCAAAGGTGCTATAGATAATGTTCAGTGGACTATTGAGCTGCATAGCGAAACTGGTTTCGACAGATCTATTCCACGGCATAGATTTAATGTGTACAAATATTTGTATTAGCAAAATATCAAGGGCGTGTCGTGGATTGTTAGAATTAGTTAATAGAGTTGAAACAATTCACGTTGACTATTATTTTACGATCACTTTAGCGTTAAATGTAATAAACACGGAGACAAGTACTATTGTTGGAAATGCTACATTGCTAGATTTATAGACTGTTAAAAATTATATGGTTCTAGTTTACAAAGAATGAATTGTTGAATCACACTAGCTTAAAAGATCGTAAAATGTACCAAAAAATTGCAAGATAAGTGCTAAAGCTGAAAATAACAATTTATCACAACCAAAAGAAAGCATCTATCACTAGAGTGCCAAAATGATTCAACAATATTGATGTCTTTATAAGTAAGACGGTAGTCCAACAAATAAAGATATCAAGAATGAAATATTGCTTTTAAATGGGATATTTTGTAAGCAAGAAATCATGGCTGATATACGAAGCGTTTAGCGAAACGGGACACGAAAACAACTCGCGGATATTAATATGAAAACTTTGCTAGTAATGTATTGACGTGCGGTTATTTTGATACTAAAGTGGATATGGAGGATAAACAATATGATTCAGATCCTGAATTAACAAGCTATGCAGCTGATGGTGGAATTTATGACCAACAAGCTCCAGCTCAAATTTTGAAAGTTATAAGAACAATGCTTGATATTTACATTCTTAAACAAAAGGGGGATTCAGATGATGACAATCTTTGATAGTGAAGAATCTATGGAATGGTTTACCATACCATTAGGCTTATCCTCAGGCAAAAGATAACTACTCATAATATGATGTTTATAGGAAAACCAGATAAATGATAATACCATTAAGTCATCATAAGAATAACGACTCCATTAAATCATATTTCCATGTATCAATAAACTGATGATGATAGCACATTACAAGAATGTCGGGGGACAGAACAATTGTTTCTGCGAAACATCTAAGTCCCACACTCTGGCTTATTCAAAGAAAATACACATTTAAGAACACATAAAAGAGAGCTCATTTATATGACGAACAACAGGTGTGCTCTGGATTTAGAATAATACTAGCCAAGTCTTGAATTCCAACCAACCATGAAACAACAAATAAATATAAATACGTGTGAAATATCCAATGAAGGTAAACATTCGGTTGGTAGCTTACGCCTAAAATACGAACTAAATAAAGTAGTACTAATAACGAAGCAAAAGAACGATGAAATGATGGACCTAGTAGCGCTGGACAGTGGACAGTGAACGTCGCAACACAGTAAGGTCACACGTTATCAGCAAAGATAACTGCACTTAATGCAGCAACTATACTTATTTATACTAAGAAACAAACTGATAGCCAATACATTCATTTGAAAAGGCTACACCTTTGCAAAGTCACATGTAAAAATAATAATTGAGAATAAATAATCACAGAAAATTGTTACCAAAAACGATAGCAAGAGCTATATTTAAACAAAATTATAAATGTGGGACGATTACAACACGCCACGGTCGAATTAGAGAAGATAACTGTATGACCCAGGCGATAATTTTGGACACTAATGTGCTAACATCTGTCCGTGACATATGTCATTATTACGGAAATATGCAAATTGTCTTAATACACGCCAATGTCTATAAAAATGATATACACCACGTTTATCCTTACTATAATTTCTATATATGTAAAAGTTTATTTCAAAATGATTGCAACCTTGATCTCTTTCACTATATTAGAGAGTTTTAAGATCTAAGTCTGAAAATATAAAATGACTCACCTCGAGATCCACTGAACAGCCAAGAATTCTGCTTCGTAGAGTCTGAGTGTTTTTTCTTAGCGATGGGAGTTTGTTCCACGATGCTGGCCTGCCTACTCCTTCCAGATGAAGGAGTCTTTACGCTCTTCTTTTTTCCTTTCTTTAAGGTCCCGCTGTGTGACTTTCTTAAAGTATTCACTTTAAGAGATTGACTTTTCCCCCGAACTTTACTTTTACTTCTAGATGTCTGTCTGCTCAATCTCCTCCTATGTTCATTCATTTTAGGTGTAGGAGGCTCGTCCTCTGAGTCTGTCTCGACTGGCCTTACAGGCCTTGTGGCTGTGATAGCGGAAAATTGCTTTTCACTCTCTAGAAATAACTTTGTACGGTCCATGATTTCATCTAACCGTAATCTCTTGTCATCTTCGGCAACTGATTCTACAGGCTTTGTAGAAGTTGGCGTCTTTTTCCGCCTGAGAAAATTTAATGCACTGACTGATGAACCTTTGCTAGTTTTCCTAGTTTTAGGTGCTTCAACTGTACTGATTTTTCTGAGGTTTGCCAGATTTTTGTCTTCTTTTTTACTATTTTTTCTTATTTGGTCAAGTTTCATCGATGACCCGTGAATAGAATCACGATCTTCTTCGCTCCACAGACTTTCTCTTGATTTCTTCTTGTCATTATTTCTGTCTAATTCTCTCCTTGCTGATTCGAACCACTCATCCCCTAGGTTTTTGACTATTTCTATTGGGTTTGATAAGGACATAGTTTTTCTGTGAGTTTTTTTAGTTTTACCAAAGTCTACTTCTTCATCTGTTACAGCTACTTTGAGAGATTCTTTGCTGATGGTGGGTGTCTTGCTGAGCCTAGGCAGGGCATCATCGCTCGCGGATATGGCATCGCTGTGGCCATCCGCGGACTCGTATAACGACTCGTCGCTCTCATCTCGTCTCTCTGTAGAAATGACATCACGTGATGAGACCTTACAATTGCAAGTTCTCGCGAATTCCTTGCCATTAATTACTGAATTGTTAAACTTCTGTACTGTAATTGCTAAATTTAACGGCAATCATTTCGCAATCATCATTAATAACCCTAAGGACGTCTGAGTGTTGTAAAAACTGAAACAATGACCCGATTGGAGGGTAAAAAATGTCGTTTTCCGATCGATTGTGTTCGAGACAATGTCAAGATTATTGTGAGTCATACGGAGGCAGTTGAGAGCGTTTTACAAACGTATTATTAATTATAATTAGTATTAACATACAATGCTGAGTTTTACGGTTTTGACGGTAAGTAGGTACCGCTTTCTATTGCGTAATTTTGGTGTTAGAAGAAATTAGAGAGACGTAACGAAGCTATTATGTTGTTATCTTATGTTTCGCGATGTTGCGGAAGTATGTTACGCTCTCCGATTGTTATGACAAGTATTTGGATTACATTACAATGTAATGTTAACGAATTAATTAATTGAAAAGTAAAATATTTGATGTAAAAACATTAACAAGTTTCTAAGTTCATCTTTTTATATGAACTTAATAGAAGTACGTTAACTTAAACTTAAGAAGATAACTTATCAGTGTTACGTAATCCTGATAACCGTGCATTATCTTAAAACGGTGGTATTTACGACTAGAGGGAGTTAATCCTAACAGTAATCTTGCATAAACTGTAAACATTTGCCTAGCGCTAGGTTACTACAGTAGGGTGTCGCAATGTTTGAAAGTTGTCTTTGTATTTATTTTTCGAATTTTAAGTTGGTTTCTCTAGCTTTTCGTGTTGAGAAACTATTTTCTATGAGATTGTAAACGTTTTTAAAGATTTTAAAATAAGTTGGTGTGTAATAGTTTCGTTACGAAACAAAAAAATCTTTATTTACAACATTGTTAGTTGCTTTCTATAAACTTCTAAAGGACAACAATAATCATGAATTATAGAAATAAGTTCGAATACAAATGTCGAGGGGAGAATATGTGAAAACTTGATAATTCCCGGAATTGATTCGACCCTCAACCGAAGTGAGGTTGCGTGCTTTGAATTCATACTAAAATATGTATTAACATGTTCTTTAAGTGTTTTCCTTCTGAGGTGGGGCTGGTGACGTCACCGGGGACGGTTGTTCACCGTCTGCCCGACTTCGATATTTGTTTTTGGTGAAAACAAAACTTGGAATCTTAGTATTCAAACAGCTCTGTCGTCAAGCTACTGATGTTTTCCTGAACCATAATAAAATAATGTACGGAAAATGTGTAAAAATAGATTATTTTAACCGAATTGTACCATGTGACATACATTCAACGATACAGGAAAATAGTAACAAATAGACTCATTGCGAGCCATTATTCCTATGTCACACGAAATAAAATTAACGGCATTCCCACTTTGTATTAAAGACCTAATTCCAATAGCAACGTACATGACAGTAGAAACTCAAATAGTGATGTTTAATTATAATTTTACGAGCCCTAGATAGCTAAATAGGTTGCTTACATAAAAATCGGGTCACTAGGACTTCACTAAATAAGTAGTGATCGCGTGCAAATTTGACACTTACGCTTAGTAGCTTTTATACTAATGAGGGGTAGGTCCGACGTTTTAACTTTCGGAAATTACGAGTGATTTTGGGAATAGATGTTTTGAGTTATGATTATTATTCCGATCGCGGACATCTGTACTCGAATCGTACTCAAGTATTTATTTAAAACAAACTATAAATCGATCACATGTGTTGTGTGAAAAATATTCTGCATCAATTTCCAGCCGTCTGATTTGTTATGTCTATGGTTTCATTGTTCGTCCGACGGAGCACAGACGAGCGATTTTTTTGTAATCTATTCGGAACGCAATAAACAATACGACCTATTTTCGATTATTACATCCAATCGCGTCATTGTTTAGTAATTATTTTAAGTTTGTTAGACAAAAATGTACTTCCCAGACGTCTTTTAACAATAAAAATGGCAAGGAATTCTCTAACTGACTTAGTATCTTTATACAAACCTATGGAAACGACGTCGAGTATGTCTGAATATCTTCTCCTTTCTTTGTCACTCTCCGTCGAAGTTTCCCGTTCACTGGACTCTCTCGTCGCCTTCAGTATAACTGGTTTCTTCCTCCTAAGTTTATTGACCATTCCATTCTCACCTTTATCTACAGCCGCTTTCGACTCTCTTTTAAACCACATCATCTGTCCAACCATGTATTACACATTCACTATAGATGCCACTGTTATTTTCGTCTACACTTGCATTTTTAGAAACGTCACTGATAGAAACACTGTTTGTCACTTTATGACACTTCGCCTCGTCTGGAGCAGCTCCAACTTAAAAATGAATTGGTCAAATTATAGTGACGTTTTTGGCAGAGTCGCCGGGAAAATTATTATAATAAATATTGTCGCCAATTCGAGTGAGCGTGTAATTATAAGTAGCTATTATAAGTTGTGAGTAATAAAATATAGTTTGGTCAACAATATGCTTTGTTTCAAACGTTTAGTGTTGTTTATCAATATGATCTAGTTTTTATATTAAACCGGCGTTAATGTAACTTAATACAATAGATTGTTCGATGTCTATTTGTGTCTGTATCGATATTGATTTACCATTATTTTACCTGATTTAAAAAATGGTGTTATTGGAATATGTAAATGGCTGCTATTCTACTAATAAAAACCTTAATTAACTAAAACTCGCGGGTTACTCCCGTGAAAAGCTCTACTAGTTTCGAACCACAGAGGGGTTCTTCCTCATGAGCAGCGTGCGCGGTCGCGGCAAAGTCGCGCAGCCTACTGGCTCGACTGCCCTACGTGAGTAACCCGCGAGTTTTAGTTAATATAGTATGTCTCATGATAGATATTATAAAAACAATGAAAACCTTGTCAGGTTCTTAAGAATTATAAGGACAATAATTAAAGAGATCGCTTTGGGTTTTTCCTTTCCCAAACATTAAGGATCGTCATCCAATTTTATCCTTGTTCCTTATCTTTTAAAGATACGTGCATTGACTTCAGTAAGTGTCAACACTTGGACAAACATCGTAAGGTCATCTGTGACTTCCTTGGTGACAATATCCTTACTTAATTTAACAGTATAAATGGACCAATCAGATTATTTGTAACGCTACATCCCCCTAAACTACTGAACCAATTTTGGTAACATTTAGTGCAGAGATAGGAAACAAATCGTCCCTAGACATATGGAATTCAAACTTTAGTTGAATACGTAGATAGAAATGTTAATGTTTTTTTGTCAAATGTCATTTTCATGTATTGACTTATTTAGTCACGACTTTATGACTGTGTGCTAGGGAGACTTATAAGAAAATGCTAGTTATTGTGATTTAAAATTGTGAGGCAAAGTCGCAGTTAAAACCTTAGTATGTATGAAGAATCACTTTGTGTCATAAATTGTCGTAAGCAGAGATGTATTAAAGGGATTTACGGAACACGGCATTTATTGTGGATTCAAGATGTTTTCGTAAATCCACGTTATTAATATTTATGATAATGTTTATTAATGTATTAAGTTTTATATCGTAAAATGAAATGTGTACAATTTAGTTTGTAAACGATTTGTTTATGTATTAATTTTATATGAAATTCCTTTTTAACGAGGTGATATGAGATATATTTAAAACAATGTTTATGATTTAATTTATACATTGGACGAATAAATAAACTTGAGGAAGCTTTGACGGCTAAAAACGACGATTCTGACTTTCTGAGTACGACTTGTGGACAAAGCAAATTGATTTTTAATCAATAATTTCACTGTGGGACAGCCATGCTTCAGCACGAATGGGCCGGCTCGACCGGAATGATACCACCAACGAGCAGAAAACCGACGTGAAGCAAAGCTTGCGTTGTGTTTCGTGAGTGAGGTTATCGGAAGCCCAATTCACCCAATTCCCAATTCCCAACGATCCTCAAACACCTAATCCCCAAAAGGCCGGTAACGCACTTGTAACGCCTCTGGTGTTCCAGGTGTCCATGGGCGACGCCGATTGCTTACCATTAGGTGATCCGTCTGCTCGTTAACCGGCTTATGCCATAAAAAAATATTATGATAGTCAGTAGAAAAGATGGTTTGTGTCGAACATTCTACTAATATAATGATAATATGAATAAAACTGTAGGTACATTGCGTAGGTACACAGTAATTATTATTTTATCCTTAACTCTTGACGTTTCACGATATTTCCATTAGCAAAGCAATCACTTCCTTTCTCGTGAGTATATAACAATATATTATATACTACGTAGTATATAGTATAAAGGAACTAATATATAATGTTGGCCGCGGGCATGAATCAATGCATCATTAGAAACGGCTACATATCAAGCTACGCATAACCAGTATAAACTGACCGTCGAACGTTGGGAAAGATTATATACAGTGAGACCAGGGTCAGCTGGTTCTGTATAGCTGTGTGTGCATAGGTTTTCTGCGAGGTGACATTTCAATGTCGTTGGTGTAATGCTAGTGAGATTATTTATGGTTTATATTACAGTTGAGAATATGTAGGTAGTGTTTCTATATAACATGACATTTCATTCTCCAACCTATATCTGATCTACATTTCTTCCAAATCCGTTCAGTAGTTTTGTCGTTAATGAGTAGGTATACATACATACATCCTCACAAACATTCGCATCTTATCATACTTAACATTATAACTGTGAGTTTGGAACAGTTATAGATAATGGTCTGGAATTACATATAGGCGACTTTTTATCCCAAGAGAACGATGGTCCGCGAGCAGAAGCTAGACTATAATAATAGTAGGAAGTAGGATAAGAAGATGCCCACATTTCGTCAGTCATGAGTATTATACAAGCGAATGTTACTAATAAACCCACCTGATGGTAAGCAATCGGCGCTGCCCATGGACACCTGAGGCGTTACAAGCGCGTTACCGGTCTTTTAGAGATTAGAAGTTTGAGGATTGTTTAGGGATTCAGGGATTGAAACATAACGCAAGCTTTGATTCACGTGGGTTGTCTGTAAGGCCGTGGTATCACTCCGATCGAGCCGGCCGATTCGTACTGAACCTACACTTGAAAATGTGTGGTATGAAAAGCTCAATAACAATTTAACTGACCTGGATATGAAACCTAACATTCATTTCTCGATAGTCATGCTTACGACCACTCGATTGCAAGGTCACACAATATTTTTAATGTAAATAAATAAATTGTTAGTGTTCAAAACAGTGTTTGCAAATATGTGACCTAGATTTTGAGTCATAAATCTTTGTACCTAAATAAATAAGCTTTGATCAAGTCTAAACTTAAATGTTATGTGAGAAATGTGTTTTTATTATAATATATATGACCTTGATTAAAACTAAACTGATATTTATTTTATCATGAAAAAGTATTTTTCTGTCTAATCTCCCCAATCCCCGAATCCGCAACAATCCTCAAATTCCTGATCCCCAAAAGGCCTATAACGGACTTGTCACCCTGGTGCTTCATGTGTCCATTTTTTTGGGCTTTGACTTGATTGCTTAGCATCAAATAATCCGTCTATTCGGGCTTATTCCATAAAAAACTAATAAGTACCACGTTTTTCGACACATTCTTACAGGTGTGGCCAGATAGCGCAAAGATACCAAAACAAGTACAAAATATATTTGTTTTTTTCCAGGACCAACTCCTTATCCAGTAAGTTCAACTAACTAATGAATCATATCAACGCGATTAGCTGCGCGGGCGCAGGCGGAAGTGTCGCGAGGATGCGGCCTCCGCGCTTCCGGCGTACCCGGCCTATGATTGGCCAATATGTCGGGAGGCACGTGCGAACAAACTCCGGCGCATGGGAAGTATGTTATATGTGCGAATTATTTTAATATTAGGACATCATGAGATAACTGTTCCGTTTAACCGGAAGATAAATTTATCAAACAGTTGTAGAAATAGCTTTAACTTTGTGATACGTTAGAGGTACTGGTTACACAAATGACCATAAACATAACATATTAAACGCCATGGGGGTCACAGGTGATCGAAGTTAGCGAGGATTTGTCTTCAACAGTTATTTTATTGGCAGTCAAAGACCTAATTAAGCAACATTGAATTCGACTACTATATGCTTTATTGTAACATCATACCAAAAGCAAACATGAAACCGAATGTGCGCAAACGGTCACGTAAACTAAACTTGAAACAAATCACCACAATAAACAAACCAAATATTGAGCTTTAACATACAAAAAAAACAACTACTACACAAAGGCAAACACCACAAGCGTACAATAACAATACACAAATACTCCTTATTTATGTGTTAGAACCTTATAAATCCAAGAATCCATTTTAGCTTCTATAACAACAGTTTCCCTAGCGAATCAACAAACCATACACATTTACCTATAACACTCAATTTCATCTCCAAACAGTCTGGAGGTAGATTAAAATAGTATTTTTACTTTTTATTTTTATACCACTCCCACCTCTTAATCACTTCACTTTGTACCAGCTCCCCTGTGTAGGGGTACCATATATTTGAATCAGTCCTGAGATGAGAATATTTTTTTAAAGAAAACGTAAGTAGTATATTTTACAATACATAGTATTAAAAGTACCCTTAACCGACGAGCATGCATGAAGACTGATGACTGTTGAGCAAGTGAAAGAGAGAGGTATGTATAAATCGTAGCAATTGGCGTTCCATAGAATCTGCCTACCCCCATGGGAGACGGGCGTGAGGTTATATATGTATATATGTTGTATGTATAGCATGTATTACAGGTTTATTTAACAAAAAGTTACTAAAAACAATCTTAAGTGCAGTGTGGCGCCTAACAACGAGATCCATCTACAGTGCATAAATATGACAAAAACAATACCCTACCTATAGTCGGGTAATATTTTCACTTTTTAATAGACAGTCAAGTAAGTCTTAGCAAAGATATCAAACTGCCATAAAAAAACTTATTTTCCTGGCTTTTGGTTCGTATCCATAACGTCGTGTAACCCCTGGTAGCACTAACCTCGTGTTGCCAGACGGGAGCAAAAAGGTCCAAACTGCATTTACTGGCCAGACAGTTGGGGTGGGGGAGTCGGGGGTGGCAGGGGGAGACAGGGCTGCACCGATTGAGAAATGAATTTAATAAATAACAAGGTTCAATGCTTCCCTTTTGTGTCTGCTTAATGAAGTTTACAGTGTGAAGGTTTTCATTGAATGAATAAGGTATTTG